CAGGGCCCAAACTAGGAGTATAGAACGGCGAGGCGGGGGGATGGAAGGGTGAATGAGGCTTAGGGAGTCCCGGCGCGGAGAGCTGCGCTGTAGACTTACCCCAAGAGGCCTGAGGATAGTCTCTTATTATTCTTATTCTTCTACTTCCTCCTCTCTCATAATATACAGAATCTCATTATGTACCTTTAATTGGTTTTAAACAAAATGTGTAGACCAGGCTGGCCTCAAACTTGCAGCAATCCTCCTACTGCCATTCCTCTGAGTGCTGGGATTATGGGGTGCATGTCACTATGCTCAGTCCCATACCTGAGTTCTATGGCAATGGAGATTTGGCAAAAGTACTCTAGATCAGTAAGTTTGAATGCTGAGTCTCACCAAGTGTTACTTCTGCTACTAATTGGAATAGTGACAGGATCTGATTACATAATCAGTTTATGTATTCCTGTTAGCTTATCCCTGTTAAAATGGGCACAATGCCAACTTCCAGCACCACAAAAATTAATTCACATAATGTTATTAAACCTGAATGCTTCTAAAGAGTCATTTGTAATGGAGGTTAAAGGTTTGTCTGGTTTCAAATATCACCTCCTTCATTCACTAAATATTTGGCTGTAAGCGATAGAATATCTTTGTTCCTTAGTTTCCTCATCCATAGATGAGGATGATAACTGCACCTATCATTATGGAGAGCTAATACATATGATGGGGTCTTTTCATCCTAAAACTTGTGCAGAACTGCAGGGTGTCTAAATAATTCAGTTAACACAAAGGGACTTCAGAACTTGTAGACTGTGTTTTAGATGGAACCCTAAAGCAGCCCATCCTACTCAGCCATTCTCACTTCAGACACCCCGTTAGTATTTCAACTGAATTCCAGTGACCCTTGAGGACCACAGGAGAGCACAGGAGAGAGTACAGGAGTTGTCTAGAGAGGCACTCACCTCAGCAATGGGCTTTCCATCTCTCTTGATGAGAGCAGCAGTGAGGGACACCCCACTCTCTGAAATGGCCCTGTGGAAGAGGTTCTTGGCCAGAGGAGACAACACCTGGCAGGGGAGAGGAGAGATAGAGAGTTTATGCTCACAGGAGGGGTCAGTGGCTCACTTGTTCTTTAAGGCTCCCTCCACCTGCTCCTCTGCTCTGGCCATTTATCTGGGGACTATGGTACTCATGGACTTAACAGCTCCCCACTTCTCCTAGCCTCATTCCCAGATAGATAGCTCTTTGATAAACAGCAGGAAGTGTGTGGAAGCACTCATGAGGGCAATTGGAAAGACAGCTTGTTACTAGGAAACCCTGATTCTGTTCTGTCATTTCCATTACTCAGAATTTATCCTAAAGATAAAGATCATGGAGGCCTGTACAACTTTCTAAGAATGCTCATTTTTTTAGTAGATTGATATAACCTTAAAAATTGGAAATAGTCCAAGATTCTGATATAAAATTTGGTAAGAATAATTAGCTCATATCATTAAATACTATGTAATTATAAAAAGATAATACTACAGAAGCATTATGTTTATGCTCTATTACTATATGTTGAATTTTTGTAAAAGAATTAATCACTCAATGTAGATACATGATGGGGAGAAAGAGAAAAAAGAGGTTATGAAGTCATAGATGAAGGAAGATAGATGATAGATAGACAATAGATAGATGATAGATAGATGATAGATGATAGATAGATAGATAGATAGATAGATAGATAGATAGA